TATCAGGTACTGTTAAGAGATTCGGAATCCGTCCTTTATAAATCATTCGACTGACAAACAAGCTGTTAGCTCACGAATAAACATGACTATGGGCATTGACACTGTACAGGATACAGTACTGTGCCCAACAAGATACCTATTGCTCAGCATTGATAAAGGACTAAACTACCATTATGCCAGAATAATTAGGAAGCCTGCTTAGGAAGACATGCGTGGATAAAAAATTCGTCAATAAGGAACTAAATAGGATGCAATATAGCTTTACACAAAGAAATTACTTTGACCTTAAAAATAGACAAGGTATAATTTATTTACTTTTAAGTAAATTAATGCAGTGACCTAATGTAAATATTAGTTACAACTATGTAATTTTATTGATAGTAAAAAAATACATTATTTTAATATAATTTATCTGTCCCCGAGTTGTAATCGTCAATATAAACTGATATTCAAATTTAGATTTTAAGTAAATACTAGATATGGTTACGAATATAGTTTCCAGTTAGTTATACCTAATTTTGGACAATTTATTTTGCGTGAAAAAGAAAGCTTGGTCGGACACTACATTATATCACTCGGACGGACTCTACCTTTAGTACCTAAACTCACCACATCAAAGGCAAATGGCCTCGGAAATAACAAACAACTGGCCCAGTTCTCTAAAAAATAAACATAGGTGTGTGTTCTGTAGGGTGAAATGTGTTGTTTCACGTACAATTCTAGTTCATCGACGTTAATTTAGTGGTACGTATATTAAGGGTGAAACGTTGTTTTAACAAATTGTTTGAGTGGTTAATGAACTCTTTGAATGCATCCAATATAATTCTTATATCAAGGTGATTTTAGCGTTACTCCTAATTTATATTCTTCCAAAAAATATATTTTTTTATTAAAAACGCCAGTTTTTTTGTAAGATATATATATATGATTATATAAAAAGTGCATTGTGAATCCGTCTTATCTTCGACATATTGATGATATCACTACAGACAAAATAGCCGCGTCTGAAATAACATTTTTCCTTCATCATTATTATAGTCGTAACAACTCGTTATTCACAGCTGGGCACGGATCTCTTCTCATAAGAGGAGGTTTTAACTTCCTATTAATTATCGCGCTGGCGAGGTGGATTGTGTGTTAATTCAAGATATCCTTTTTGCATTGTATTAGTATTACATGTAATCTCTTATGTGTGGTATTACTATGTGAATTTAAAGCCAGAGCGGCATGCGAGTATATGTAGGTATGACTACTTCTTCATATCACGGAGAAGGCCTTTTTTGTGCTTATCCCGTCTATATGTTTTTTGTGTGATGACTTTTTAATGTAATTGGAATATAAAACAAGCTGACGACCCACCTAGTGGTAAGTTATTAGCGTCGCCTATATGTATGAATAGCACTACATCACGATATCATATGTCACCGCTGATACCACTCTAGCGTTTCTATTCCAGAGGATTTATTCGTAGATGACAGGCCTCCTGTAATTGATGTCTTGTGATTACATTGTTTTATTTTACCCGTTAATATACTCATATGTACAGCGTACAAAGCTAGCTACATTTCATATACATATTCTACTAATCTAGTAGGCAACTGTGTAGTGTATCTCATGATAGATATGAGATTTTTATATTGGCTATGATTTTGATATTATTTTATTATGCTTATTAGTCTGCTGTTTGTTCCCTCAGTTGTTTAAAATCGAACTAATAGATTGTTGTAAATCTCTAAGTGTTGCAAATTTTTAATCATACGATATAGTCATGCCATTTTTCTAAAATAGAACATAAATTGCAATGCCTTATTTTTATAACCGCGTTCGGGCATGTCCAACACATAAAATTAATATGTGCATTATTTGTAAATTTATAATTACTAACATAGAAATATGTTCGTTTTTTGTATAATTCTAACAGCAGAATGATGGTAAGTTGTAATGGTTACCTATATAACTGAACAGCATTATGGACGTCACATTATCTTGTAACACCCGTAATACTCATGCGGTGCCATTTCAGAGGACTAAGATGTCATGCCTCACATTCTGGAATTTGTTTTACTTTTATTACTATGTTTTTTTATTGTGTTTGTACTATTATCCCAAATACCTTAGGGTGACTGTTAAATAATCTTTTTTGATCATAATTCGGCTGTTTCATTAGTAATTAAGTATTTCTACTAAGGTGTAATTTCTACGAAGGAATAAAAATTACTTATGTTATAAACAAAGTATTGTCATAGAATAATTCTTTCATAGAAGTACCTATGTATTCGACCAAGTCCTAGTTTAATTGCAATGTTGTTCGAAAATCAAAACAATTTTGAAATTTATTCTGAATGTGTATGCCAAACTAGCGTACGAATGAATTGCAAACACGAGTTACAATTACAATATAAAAAACCAAGTGCTAATTTTTCACACTAGTTGTTTGAATCTCCCATTATAGGTATCTACATATTAGGAATTATTGGAATACTCGATAATGGTAGCTAGATGTAGGCATATTTAGAAATAATAAAGTTGAGGTAATATAAAATGAATAAAGTCCTGTTACTTATATTGCTAGCTTATCCGTAATATTCGTGAAGGGGTGTTATCATGGGGATGTAACAGCAAAATGCTGGTGGTCACTATATCATCACGGCATCATATCGTCAGTCAGTAGTCTCTGTATCATTCTATGTTTACATTTAAGTAGGTATTATTTTAAACACGACGGTAGTGGAAAAATATTAATACATAAACTTAACGTTCATAAGCGACTAAAATGTCCTACATGAATAAATTAATGTATGATTTAGATTTTTCCAATGCTCGTAACTTTAATTTGAAAATATTTAAAGGCGTGTATTTGTTACTTCTTTTCGATTCAAACCTGTAGATTGGCTTATCATTAGTGTTATGATTTACAAAATTATACGAGGATTGAACACGGTATATAATGAAGTAACGCTCGCCTTTGCACGAGGAATACATTGTTTTTATTTACACTATTTTTACATACATATATATAAAGAATATCAATTTTAGTATATCCTTAGTATTATACTCAGTTCACCTTACAATGACGCATGGAGTCCTTAGATTTTTTTCAACACATAAACTTGTTTCATTTATCAATATTTATACAAACATTATTTTTTGTCTCTATGCAAATATTTTTTCAAACCAACATATCATATGTATATACAAAATCTTTCAAAGTTACATATTAATTTCGGATTATGGGTATAGGTACATATGTAGGTAATTACATTTTCTATTTTTTAGTATTAATTAATTAATTTAAACTCTGAATTGCCAAGAATAGTTAGGACAAGTTTTTCTATAATTATAATTTATTTAAAAAATTAAAATACACGACTATGAATACTTTATGGATAAATCGCGACTCAATAAAGGCGAGACATAAGAAATTAATTCCAGCAGTGAAATTTGTTGGTAAGAAAGAAGTTATATAATACGAGAAACGTCATTTATCAGACGTCTTCGCAAAAGCGATAAAAAATGGCTATATTTTTATCGTATCGTCCAATTACCTCTTACTTAATGTAGAAATCGCCGATATATATACTTAAAGGAGAAGTGTATAGGCATTTAAGATATAACTTCTTGACCTTCTGGCCTTGCGGCATACGAATGTTTTATGAGTGTTTTAATCGCAATAATTAAACTTCCCATTGTTTTCATATTCTATTACATTATGATACATAATGTTTTCTGTATTTCTACAATTAACAAACGCAAGCCAGGGAATATGACGTGCGGTTACATGGAATTTGAAGCATTACATTACAACACAAACAATAACATAACTTTTATACTTTTTAGGAGATATTTTAAAGAATTTCTGTAGGTTTTATATTTTTTGTAGTTTCAAAAACCGGCCTCTTGCTGTCAAGTTGTTTATGAAAGCTTCACATTCGGACACAAAGACACACAAGTTATGGCATTGTTGTTGGATACAGTCTCTATAAAGTTAATTTTATTATAGAACATAGTTATTTGTCTTCTAATAATTAATTATTACATAAAACAAGTTTAAATTGATAATTTCAGAAAATATTTCCAAATAAAATACTTAGATACAAGGCCTCCTCTATTGAATTCGTAATGCATACGCTGATTGAAATACATAATTGTAATAATTATTTGTATTAACAACTATTATTATACAATATATATTGCTAACCGCCTTATTATATTTATACAGATGTATACAGATTCTGTGTATTCATAAATGTGTAAACGTAAATTTTTACTTTTCTGTATAATGCAAATAAAAGTATATTCTATTTATTAGTAAAATACTCCATAGCCACTAGAACATTTATTGAAATTCTTAATTTATAATCTTTTACAGATAATAACAAAAAAAAAATTGACACTGCGACGCAATGTCTAGGTATACGTGCTTACTTTAAATTATAGGCTATTGGAAATGCCTATACTATTTCAATAAGCTTTCATATTTATCATATTAAGATGACATTTCTACGACGTATATAGTTAAAGGTAAGTAACGTAAGTAACGAACAACTGTCGTTAATAAATATATGAACCGCCATCGTTCGAATTAATTTAATCTGTTATTTATGTTCACCGATAATCGATATATGAAAAAAAAAATTTGAATGCGTTTAGTCTCACTCCCTATCTTTGAAATCTAGTAATTGTATTGAACCAATAGATACAAGGCCCTTAGACATACAGACATGTGCAGTACATATACTTATTTAACTTTTATTTTAGTTATGAATGATTCAGTTACCATTAAAATGATTGTGGTAGTATACAATACATACAGCAAATAAATACATAAAATATATTTATTTAATTTATTATAAAGGTCTCTAAGTTTTTTTTGCAAGTCAAATCTCAAATTATATTTATTAAAAACTGCAAAGATAAGTCGGTATACCCATAATTAATAAATTAAATAAACATATTTTATTTAAATTAACTAATTTCTAATCCACTCAAAAAATATTTACCTTATCCACTTATTTTAATCAAGTCCACAAAAACTAAGGCTAATAAATCAAATAATACTACTAATAAATAAACACTATTTATTTTACTAAACTTCGAATGATTATTTACAATTTGGCAGTGATTTACGAGATTATGGCGCGAATTTCAAAATTAGAACGTAAACGCGTTCTCCGCCAGACGCGTGTCGGCGGACTGGCTGGCTGGATGTAGTAAAATATCCCACCCGTGTGATAGATTGGTACTGGCATAAACCAACTAGATCTGAACAAACATAACAATATACTGATAGCCTTATTACACGAGGCACCACTGCGTTTGGTCGATAAAAGTGATAATACAACTAGGTATTTCACTTTCTAGCCAAGTTAAGGTCCAGGCACGATAAATGAACAAGTCATTATTGCTTAATTACAACTTAGTGGTACATTACAGTTATAAACTTGTATACTTACCATTGCTTTATACTCTGTGGTTGGATGTTAATTAGTTAATTACAAAAATAGATATATCTATTTTTAATAGTACTGGATTGATTTTAATGTTTAGGCTTTGTAAAAAGGAAAAAAGGACGAAAATTGATTTTCTCTACTAGGTACACTTATAAGAAATATTATCATAAATTATGAAGGCTCCAGGCGCTTGGTCTCCCTTTACCGTCTGGCTTGTAACATCAGCTCTTTTCTCTTTCAATCTTTCTAATTTCTATAGGTATGAATTGAATATACTTCTTTAGATCATACAGCAGCTGCAAGCGAGTTGTTTTATGTAGTTGGAAGCGACTATAATTACGATCATATGTAACTCAAAAAAAATATTTTGGTTGATTTCGTCTGAGTTTTACACGTTTCTTTTTCTACTCGGTTCTTTACTAAGGATATGTTTCAAGTACAATAAATATTTAATTAAACAATGAGCAATTTTTCAAATGAGTATTGTACTGTACACTACATAATTAGTAGTACTAGTAAGTAGCAAATAGAATAAAAAAAAATAATGTCAATTTTCTAGGTACATGAATAGTGGACTTAGTTTCTTCTATTCTACGTTTTTTCTATTTCTATGTATACCAAATTTATGGTTTAAACTGTGCAGAGAAATAAAACACCATGATGATATTTTCTCACATCTGCCAATAAAATTTATTTAGAGACGTTTGCGAGAAGATTGTAATATTTCACTAATCAAATTTGGTATTATTCTTGGCTGAATTGGCTACGCATGCCATTTTAAAACAACGCCGGCTGTGCGAAAAATAAACAATTGCACCTGGTATTCGTTGGTTTCCCGAATACCCGGTTTATTCTTGTGGTGGACTCTGAAAGATTAAGGTATGGCAGGGAAGTAAGTGGATCCAATGCATGCAGTCTAATATCTATATTTGATATATAGCATATATAGTATATAGCAGGTGCCACTAGTTCGATGTAGCACAAGGGATCGGCTTTAACCCTCTTCTTTATTATAATGGATATTCTGATATTAAACATCCAGGACGAGGTACTCTGTTATATGACTGTTCTGTGGGTTCGTCGGTTTTTCCAGTTTCAAGCTTATCAAGCTAAAGGGTGTAACGCTTCAAGTCTGCTCCAATTTACAACACCTCCAAATATCAGTTACACAGAATAATGCCGACATAAACCCTGATGTCAAGCATAGAATTAGCAGAAAATGAAAGAAATGATGATAGCTCTCGAGCACGATGTGTGAGCCCAGAATGTCCCTAAAACTAAAGTGTATACAAATATAACAGGTGTCGTCTTGTATAGATCTCAATGTTAGGCCATAAACGGGAGGGATAGTGTCAGAGATGCGAATATAGAGATGCTTGTTTGGAGTGAACAGGAATGATAAAATTAGAAATTAATATATGTAAGGAAGTTTGAAAGTAATAGAGAAGTTACAAAGATGTTTTTAGTATGGATACATCACGCGGAGGACTGAGAACCATGATTTTAAGAAGGTGTATATTGAATACCTTCTTTAAATCATATGATCGTGGATGAATGTAGAGGATAATCGAAAAACAGATGGATGGACTGAGTGAAAGAGTAATTGACGGCTGATAGGAATTAGTGGAAGATGGCATACTGCGCATGTCCAAATTAAGGATGTAATGATGAAGTTTATAATATTTATTCTCGAAACAAATTAATATAATGTAACACAAAAGGGTATTTTAAACAGCATGATTTCGCTACCTGCTTTTAAGAAGTAATAAATTCGGTTTACCTTTAATTATATCGCCTATATTTATTCGGAATTGATTATCGACCGGCATCGTAGAGAAAACAGCTCACATTGCTTTAGGGATTACAAAGCTTTTGTATCAAAAAAAACACAAAGAAATATAGTAATTAGAAAATATTCCTAAAACAAATACTTCGATCATCACGTTGGACACAGCCTCTCGTAACGCCGAAATATAGACCATTAATTACTACTTATCCAGCTAATAGACTGAGATAAACGTATTTTGGGGCAATATTGCTATCTCATGTCTGTTCTGATCATCCAATGTTCAATCGTAGTGAAGTCTATAGATAGCATCAGTCTGTGTTTATAAAAATGTAGAATGTGTATAATTGTTTATTTTATCTATTTATTCACGCTATATTTTACTGATTTTATTTATTTATATTGTTTTTTACTTCACTGTTTAATATTCATATTATTTGTACGTACCGAGCTTACACTTACGCACTTTAATGCAGGAAAGAAGGTGCATGTAAATGAAAAAAAGAAAGAGAGCAAAGAGCAAGGAGAGTCATTCGCCTGCGCAATCGCGCAATTTAATGTTTGTAATACATAATTATAACCGCAAAATGGTCGACTGTGAGTAAAAACAAAAATTTGACTATGGAATAAAGAATACGAATTACAAAGTTTATGATTATCTATAAATCTTAAATGTATCTTAGGAAAAAAATCTGAAAATATACCAAAATATTTTTTCTACCAAGAAAGTGCATACATGAAACACATGTTCGTTTGCGCGGGCAGGTGCTTTTCCGCTCAATATTGTATGTTCTCCTGATCGCCCGAGAAAAAACGCATCAAATAAAGGCAGCTATCACTGTTTTTAGCAATCAATTTTTCGTTTGGATACTAAACTCTAGGATTTGTTATGAAAAACAGTGCTGTAGGGTACTACAGCCATACCATGAGGTATTGTTTTTTTTTCAGACTACTCTAATGCTGTCGTCCGCAACTGGCCTTTACAGTTTCAACGGACGATAGGGGGCGAGTGAGATGTCACTCCAAACCCGCGGAAGGCCTAATGGAGCGGTTGAAGGCCAACTACCGCCTGACGGATACGACTTTAGTCAGAGTGCACCGCAAGGGGTTCGAACTTCGTCTCAGGCCGTCGTAATTTTGATCCCCTTTTGAATTGGACGGAGGATCGATCGGAGGGGGCAATATGATTCAGACGTCAGGAACTCCAATGTATGCGTTGCAGTGCTCACTGAAGTATGTGGTCAAATTTCTCTTTATTTTACTGTCGTCGTTTTATGGTTGTTCTATTATTTTGTTTCAGTGTTATTCAGTAATTTATTTACATAATAAAACTACATCAATACAATACAGATTTTTTACCCGTTTTTTTTTCTAAATTACTCTTAAATTACTCTCTGATTTCACTTCCATGTTAACGAAATTTCATTTTAGTATGTTGTGGGTAAATAGTGCCACTAAATAAATATATACGACCTTTTAATTAGAGCATTAAATTGTTTTTCCTTTCGACTATTCTTAGCTGCTAAGACACTGCGATCTGTAGATCTATTGTGCTCGCCCTTACAGATCTATGGCCATAGAGATTTACTTAAGTTATTTGATTTTAAAATATAATTATAATTCCTTATTTTCGCACTTTTTGATATATTAAAATACCTAGTTATATATGACCTTTAACTGTTTCTGAGAATTAGAGAATACATTACTTCAATTTTTCAGTAGTCCTGTACTAGGTAGATATATAATAATAATAATTTTTATTTGTCTCAAACAAAATCTTTTCACACAATACAACTGCTGCAAGTTTTTTTCACACAATACAATTTAAAACTAATGAATGAGACAAAACGGTTTATAACTCAGTGAGGGCAGTGAGTCCACCCTCTCTGCTATCCTGTTATAGCCTTTATCAGTAAAATAATACAATATGAGATCAACGACGACGATAGCATATTAAGTTAAGTTCTAAACTACAACTAACAAAGTTAAGTCTAACTACAAATAATATATTATAAATGAACTAGTGAATATATGTAAATGCAAACATACTAATATTCTATAAATGTTTTTCGTTTATATACAAACAATAATAATTTCTTTACGCGTATTTCTTAAAAGTTTATATCTTCATGTATTTAGACTGCTTACGTATAATTACGTAATAATATAACTGGGTGATTTTTAATTTGCCCGACAAAATTAATTAACACAATTTTCTGCACTGTTTCGTTTTTCACGGTAATGGTTATAAAAATGTGGGTTAAAGAAACAGGTACGGATGCTGTACAACAGTTATGAAGCAGATTGATCATCTCAATGTGACACGTGATATTGGCGGTCTGTAGATACCTACGCCGAGGTCGGAGCACATTGGCCGAGGTCATGCCCAACCCAAATCCCGATTGTCCCAATCATCTCACATTGTCATTATCCCACGCTGTAATAAATAATTTAAGATCATATTCAATGATTGAGAATTATATTGATAAAATTTTACAATGATAGTAAATAGGTATGTACCTACTTAATATAGTGTTTATATATCAATAGATACGTTATATAATTTTAATATTATTAAAGGGTACATTATATGGATACAATATATTTGTTGTAATATTTAAGTATATAAATTATTTTTTATTTCTAGCAATAACATTTTTATTCAATTCAAACCATGATCACTGATTCCGAATAATTCCAAAATTTTAACACTTTTCCAATATCACGTCTTATTTCCTGCCTAGTACCTAAACACTAGCCTCTTGTCAAATAGAAAAGAATATTTCTGTAAGAAATAATGTTATAGATGAGTTGTTATAGAGTGATTATGATATAAGTAATTGGTTTGTCTAACCATTGGCAATATTCTGTAAGGATGTTTGATAATTTTTCTTAAGTATTATCAGTGGCACTCAATGAGGAAATAGCCATTATTATTGCTAAAAG